TTAGAACTATTTTTTTTTATGGATGTTATTGTTAAACGCGTCACTGTTGTCGTTGGAGTTTAGGTGTACGATTGTTTTATTTATTTAAGAATTTTTGCCACTGAGGCGGACATGAGATGTCTTATTTTGAAATTGCCCACGGAGAGCGAAGTTTTGACAGTTTATAAAATTGATATTTTTGGTGGAATTATGGGAGTCGAAGCTTTATTTTATTTAAATTATTTCCCAGGGAGTTGGTTATCTCGTGTTTAGAGTTAAGGTTAGACAGGTGGATTATTTAGCATTACCTAGGATGGTATATAACATCTTGGGGCGTTACAATGTATCACTACCACTTGTATATAATAAACATTTATATTTCAAATTTTCTACAATTATTTCATTATATATACATATCGATATTTCATATCTTGTTCAATTATGTAACTAAAAACTAAATTTTATTATAAATTATCAAATAAAATATAATTAAGCAACATTGAACTTTAATTTATTAATTCAGATTATTTTTATCAATCGTCATTATCTTGCTCTGACATTTTCATCGACATCGACTTTTTCATAGATAAGTTACTGATATTTTTACATATGATGGTTAAAATTGGTAAATTAGAGCTTAATTAAGCTACAATTAAAGTTTTATTTATTAATTCAAATAATTTGCATCAATATCTACAATTGTCGTGATCTTTTAAAAAATATTTGTCAACATCGACATTTTGAATCTTGGTGTATATATATATATATTTAGTGCATTAGAGAAATGCAGAGAAAAGAAACAATTATGGATAATCATGAAATACTAATATTACTTAATCAGTACAAATATCTCATTATTTTTGGTTGAGTACAAAGGGTAAGATATGCTCGCTTTGGCACAAATCTCACGTATTTCTTCCTTCATCTTAACATTTTCTAACAGGAATATTTTCTACATTTATCCTTCTTAAATTCAGGGATTTTTTTATTGTCAAAAAAAAAAATCATTAGGGATTTTCATAGCGTGTTTCCTTTCTTGCTTCTGGCGCCTATTTTTCATTCCTCGTATTTCCTTATTTGGAAAACAATATCAGCTGGCCCATTTTGATCCTTCGCTGTGTGCAGGGCTGCTTTAAGCATCCACACGAGGCAAAAGGATGATCTTTCCCCTAGTTTGAGGATGCATAAGTAACTCCTTATCTTAGCTAAAATTGATACACAATAATCTAAAAATCCTCTCTTTGAATTCTTCCCACTAAAATTAAATTAGGTAAGATTGGACTCAAACATCACTATAATGATCCAACAAATACATAACTGGAGACGTTAAACGAAACTGCCACATGGAGGACCCAGAATGATTCAACATATAACGATTCAAGATGATTGAGTAGAGAGAATAGAATGATCAACCGGCAAGACGATTCCAGATGCTCGTTCCACCCTAGGAACGACCAACCTTACTTAGTCAAATACTGGGTCAAGAGATATAAGACTCCGCACAACTAGCTTCAACAGGAATAGCAGAAACCTGACATGCTCAACAGCTTGGATACACCGTCAAASACATAAACCTATAAATAGAGGTTCTCACTCTATAGTCAGGTATCTCATTCTATTTGGATCTTAATATTAGGGTCGATCTCCTTATTGACTTAAGCGTCGGAGTCTTGCCTCCTTGTGCAAGTCCTTCCCTCTTGTATGATATTTCAGCTCACTCCGATTCTACCAAGTTCGCTCAATCAGTCCATCTCAACCTGGTCGGTCGAAACCTTATTTTGTTGCACAAACATAAGTCAATATGAACAGAGCTCAATTAAAAATATCTATTACCTTTGTTAAGGCTGAAGATTCCATCTCCACCGGAACTCAGAAAGAAAGAAAGGAATAAAAATATATAGGAATATTTAAATTCAAAATAACTTAAAATGAGTAATGGATGAGAAATAATAATTCCTTATTATTTAGTTGATGACCATTCCAATGTTCTTTACAATTTGGAATTGTAGATTTTTTTGTTCCCCTAATCCAATGATATTTTAAGGGGTTTCTTTTGCCAGATATAAATAATTAAATGGAGGTTGACAGAGAGCAAAAACAAATAAATAAATAAATAATAATAGAAGTTTTGTTACAACTTTTCATAAATGTTGAACTATGCGCCACCCATACGTTGTTATAGTATTTAAATGGAAGAATGATTTGGTTTTTGTTCTTCAGGTTGGTTGGTTCTTAGTTTGATTTCTATCGAATAATCTCAGAAGCAATTCGCAGTTATTCATATCTTACGCATCAAGTTTTCGAAGAATATCACAAGGAATTCTATGCCATGCGTTGGAATTCAACTCCGATTTTGATGTTATTTATCCTCCTTATCTTCCATCTTCCTTTTCCTGCAATTTCTTGATTTGGTTTATTGAACAAAATTCGATCCTCTGTTTGGAAGGCGAGAAAATTGAAAAACGCGACGGAGACTCATTGTAATTGGGGTTGTTTCTTTGTTCAATCTGTAAATGAACGATCCCAGAATCGATTCCGAGCAAGAAATCCGACGAAACCTTGGAGTGATTGCTGATTGTTACTCTGGTTTCGAGTATCGAAAGTTTAGGGCACAGCAGCCGTGGAGTATGGGAACTTGCGTTCATCTCCCCGGGGCGATGGGTGAAGAAGAAGAATCTTCAGAACAGCAAGATTTTGGATCGTCTAAATCCAGCTCCACTATCATCAACCTATTCGAATCTCCTGCTTCGGCTTTCTTCGCGACGGAGCAATGTATGGGGTTTCCTCCGGTTGAGTTTCAGCCTGGTTCTTCGTCTTTCGACAAGACTTCTTCCACGATTTTCCAATCTTCCGGCCGGAACTTCTGTCTCGAATCGGCGGAGCACAGCGACACAGATTCCGAATTCGGAAACACCTTGCAATCGGTCGTGAAATCGCAACTCTGTAAGAGAAGCTTCAATGGCTTCCCGAAGAGCATTTTCCATGACCACAAGGTGTTTGATAATAGTTTCCCCTCAATCGCGAAGCACTGCCAAGCTCCTTTCCACGACCAAGGAGTACGTAATTTCCACGCACCATCTGATAAATCTTTGCTTCTGTTTGTCCAATTTTTATGGATGTATCTGTCGTGTTTGATTTTGATTCAGGGCTTTTATAATCCAACCAGTTATTCAATGGCACAGCCAAGTTTCTGCTCCCAACAAGAGATGAACTCTCCAAGTTTCTCTTACTTGGGTGCCTCTGTTGGCTCTGGAAGCTCTTCTTCCTCCAGCGGGAATGGATTCACCACCAAAACAAGAATCAGATGGACGCAAGATCTCCATGAGAAGTTTGTTGACTGTGTTAATCGCCTTGGTGGTGCTGAGAGTAAGTAAAACTAAAACCAAACCTTATTTAGTTATGGAGTTTTTTCTTGAAGATGTAGGAATTTCAAAGCTGATTTGTTGTTAGTGTTACAGAGGCGACGCCTAAAGCAATTCTGAAGCTGATGGATTCAGAGGGATTGACCATATTTCATGTGAAGAGCCATTTGCAGGTACAGAAGAAAGAAATCTCTATACGTCATTTCTTCAATTTGATCATTTGAGTATCTTTTTGACCCATGATTACTGATTTCAATTTCATCTTCCTTGTAGAAATATCGGATTGCAAAATACATGCCAGAATCTGCAGAAAGTAGAGATTTCCATAGTGCAAATCCATTTATTTCAATACCCTGTTCTGTTTGCTTGAAGCTTTGAATCTGGACTTATATCAACAATAAATTTTTTCCTGTAACTCCAATTTTTTATTTTTTTTTTGGTTGTTCAAACTTATTGCCAAACCTAGCCAATTTTTCCAATAGAAGTAGCCATCAATTTTTTGAATGAAAATCACTTCAGCAAAAGTGTTTTGCAATGCAGGGAAATCTGATAGAAGAAACGGCCTGGATGAAGTTGCCCAACTGGACATGAAAACGTGAGCTCCTTTTAGATCTTAAAAAGTTAGAACGTAAAATTTTACCCGAGTCTAACCTGCTAATTCGAGTGAATAATGTTGTATTACAGTGGCATGCAAATTAGAGAAGCACTGCAACTGCAGCTAGATGTTCAGAGGCGTCTTCATGAACAACTAGAGGTATTATTTATATTTACATCCTTCACTATAATTCAAAGCATTAAGTTTTAACTATTGACGTCAAAACGAGCAGCTAATTGACATACTAAAAAGGTTTTAAACGTTGACATTCTCTATGTTTTTTTCTATTTTCATGTTGTAAACCTATTTTGGCATGTAAAAAAAAAAAAANGTAAAAAAAAAAAAAAAAAGAAGGCTTTGATTGGAAAAATTATACGTTATCTTAGGTTTAAATACTTGTTCATATGGAAATCTAAGTATTTATGACAACAACTGAAATAACGTGTTATTCAAAACTCAAGGAGCAAAATAGAACGTTTGAAAGTTTAGAGACCAAAATGAAATAAAATGAAATCTTAGACCATATTTGATAATAATTTCATTTTTAATTCTTGTTTTCAAAATTATGCTCGATTTCTCACCGTTCTTTAGTATTTCGTTCAATTTTCTTCGAAACGCATTTGAATTCGTAGTCAAATTTGAAAAAAGAAAAAACTTTTTTAAAACTTGCTTGTTAGAAGCTTAATTTTTAATAACATAAAAACAAAAACAAAATCGTTATCATATTGCCCGAGAAATGGAAAATGTCAAATCAAGAATTCTGGCTGCAAATTTGTGGGTGCCTGCCTTATTTTGTTGTTCTTACAGATTCAGAGGAAGCTACAGTTGCAAATTGAAGAACAGGGGAAAAAACTTAAGATGATGTTTGACCAACAACAGGAAACTAACAAATGCTTCTTCAGAACCAATGGCTTCAACAAGCCAATTCCGAACAGCCCGTTGCGTAATCTCGACGATCCTCCGATCTCGACAGCCGAAAGCATCAGAAATGCCCAATTCCCATCCAATAAAAGCTAGCCCCTGTATATAAACACACTCATCGGGAGCTCACTATGGCCATTGCAGACTGAGGAGCCTCTTCTTCTGCAGAAACCAAAACAAAAAGAAAAATGGTAAATATTACAGAGTCTTGTTGAATATAGAAACTTTTGGAAATTGGGTTCACGAACTACGCGTGTGTGTGGGGACAAGTTTTAGTTGCGTTAATTGTTCAAGTTTGAGTACAACATGTGGGGGTGGGAGATCGAACTCACAACTTCTTGGTTGGAGACATATACCAATTACACCGCTGAGCCATGTTCGCTTTGACATTGTCAGTTCAAGTTGAAAGGCTTTGAAATTTTTTTTGTCATTATTTAGGATTTCTTTTTACTTTCATGAGGAATTGACCAATGGTAAAAGAGTTCGAGTGTGTTTCGGAATACTTCTTAACTATGATAAAAGCACACTCGAATAGTTAAAAATACTTTCGATCTCAAATGTCGATGTTTGACTGTAATTTAAAAGTACTCCTCGGGAGAGTCAAAAGTAAAGTACTTTAAGAAGAAACTTATAGCTATTTCTAGAGTATTTTTTTTTTTTTGGCTAAACGATCAATCATTCTTAACCTTTAGTTATACTCTTTTTTAATTACTTTATGCACGCACCACTGGCTAACTTCTCTCGTTACACATTTTCTCTTGGTAACTCTTCTGGCTGCCGTCTACGTATGTTTTCTCTACAATTCTCTCCATTCGCTTACATTCTCTACAACTAATCTTCACATGTAACTCCTTAATCTTTCCTCTTACTAATCTCTCTTTTACGGACATGAGATCTTCTATTATCAAATAGTTTATTTATTTCTCCAAAAAAAAAAAAAAGAAAAAGGAGATTGTAAGCCAGCACATTACGAGTCTTCTTAAATAATAGAGTTAAAAAATAAATAAAATCAGTTGAGTTACACTTTATTCATTGAAATCTTTAATTGTATGCTAATTAAATTGATTTAGAAAACTAAATTCGTGGGATGATAATTGGAAACAAATTACTCTTTTTCAGTTATGTCCCTTGATTGCTATTGGAGGGAAAGTAATTAACTTTCACACACATATGTTAGTTGCCATGAACACGATTAGTCCAACTGTGATCAGAATCCCCATGTGGGTTATATCTTTTAAAAATAGGTTTTTTTTTCCTTCTTCTTCTTGTTGACATTTAAAAGATTTATATATTCTTTAAAAATTTAAGTTCAAATTTTCTTTTGAATCTCCAACTTTTATAATTATTTAATTTTACTCTCTAAACTTTTTAAATATTTTGTTTTAGTCTTTAAATAATTATTCTTTAAAAAAATATAGGGATCAGATCAAAATGAACCTTTCGAGTTAAAGCGAAGTAATAAAATAGGTAATAAACCCGATTTATTGGTTTGTACTCTTTATCTTGTTGTACTTTCCTAACTAGTGATTAACTCCAAGTCAAAAAAAATATATTTTTTCTATTTTTATAAAACATCCTTGAAATCTTATCATATATATTTTTCTTTTTAACAAAAAGTTAAATGCTATGTTAATTTCTATGATGCATTAATATAAAATCTTACCTGTTGTACCAACAAAAAAATGTGTAGCCATCAAAATGAGCAAAAGTTAAAAGTACACAACCAAAACAAACCAAAACCGTAAGTAAATGAAATAAAAAATAGTATCTAAATGTCTATAATTTAATTCTGCAAATAAGAACCAAATTCATCTTTTTTTTTTAAGTAGAGAGACTAAAATAAACAAAAATTAAAAGTAGAGATACCAAAATGAAACAATATTATGAAAAATACAGTAACAAAAATAGTATTTAAAACAAAACGAAAAAATGAATATGTTTGTTTCATTGTGTTGCCTTTTGGAGGAGCGAAGAGGCAGACATCAAAACGGCAGCGTCCAGCTAAGATGAATCATCAAGAAGCATGAAAAGGCCATAGAAGCAAATTCGTATAGAATATGCATTTAGATGTGGACATAATTAATTTATAAGAAATAAAAATAAAACAATTTGCCATCTGTTTCTTATGAACAGCTTTAATTTGCAGAAAGAGATAAGAGTTGGAAGCCAACGATCAACTTTTTAGAGTGCCTCTGCCAAAGATTCTTGTCTTTTAGGACATTGGCTTTTCCATTTTGGTACAGATTCTGTTTGGTCTTCCAATTCCTTGCTCGAATATTAAACAATTAACCTATGATACAGACATTTATCGTTAAAATACCATTTTTCTTTGACTTATTCTATTTTAGCCCCTCGACTTTGATAACTGTTGCTATTTTTCTTTGCTCATTTTAGGAAACGTTATTAATCAAGTTTCTTCTTCCTATTTTTGGTTTTTCTTTTTTCAAACACATGGATAAAAGTGTTTTTTTTATCATTTTTAAATTATAAAATGCTTAATAAATATAAAAATAAATATAACATAAAATGTTTTAATATTTAATTATTTGAAAAATAATTTCATAGTTAGGCTTGTTTCTTATTCTTTCGTTTTTTTATTAGAAAAAGAGAAAACAGAGAGAAAAAAAAGAAACAAGAAAAACTTACTCATTATTTCATAAGATTTCATATTTTGTTATTTAAATAATGTGAAGTTGCTTGTTGTTATAGAAAATTGACCGATTAAAATATTGGTAAATATATTAACTATTGACATCTCCATAAAAATTAGGATTTGAAAATTCGTATATCTTAATTTTTTCTAATATTCAGTCTGTAACGACTTAATTAAGAAAGATTATACAATAAATATTTATCATCTATTTATGTATGATATAATATTAAAACCAACAGGGGAAAAAACTTTAAAATTTATGGATTAAAATTTATGTTTCCAAAGTTCAAGAACTAACATAGAAGAACTCTAAAAGTTATGGAACAAGATTTAATTCAAGATTTATTATTGTCCTAATTAATAAAATGATTATTAAAAGAAATAAAAATTCAATCTTCTGTGTAAATGTAATGTTTATAGAGATAGTCCACACMATTTCTTAAATCTTTTGTGCTTGAAAAAAATACAATTTTGGTATTGACACTAATCTTCTATTTTTAAATTGAAAAAAAAACAATTTCATACCCAAAGAGAAAGATAATAATAAAGTTTGGGAACAAGAAGGAAATTTCATAATTAATCTCAAGCACTTTAATTGGTTCTATGGGTGTGATTATTAATTTTAGTAAAGTCATTGGAAGGTCCAATTAGCTTGACATTTTTCCTTGTTTATTTCTCCCATATAATTTAAGTGTCAAATTAATTAATGGCATGCGCAAAAAATAACTATTTTGGTTATACTTCTAATAGAAGTTGGAGTTCAATTCTCTATTTTCATATATTTTATACTTAAAAAAACTCAAAAACTAACTATTTTGGTTATCATTCATAGTTTATGGTCAGTTGTTTAAACAAATGAATTATGTAACTTCGAAATTGATGTGAACATTTGCGGCCGCATAAATTAGCTAAGATAGATATCAATTGGGTTGCTAATATTTGGTGTTCGATATATGTCAATTACTGCTGAACTATACTCGTTTTGACAAATATTATGATAGTTAAATGGACCAAAATGTTTATTTTTAAAAAGTACATGCATATAATAAAATAGACATTTTGAGGAGTTTTAAATTTATACTCTTCTTTTTGTTTTTTTTTTCTCGACTTCAACAAGGTATTGATGGGTGAACTTCCAAAACTTTAGTAGAAAATAGATTCCGTAAACAGTTGAGCAATGCTGATGTTGACATCTTTTTTCCATTTAGGTATTGTAATTATCTAATTTTATTCAATAATAATGTGCTTTCAATGTTGAAGAGGGTAACAATAATCTGTCAATCTAGGCTGTTCTATAAATCGTCTAAATCAAATTTGGTCGGCTCAATGTTTCTAAATTAATTTTTTAGGCTTTTTTTTTTGGCAGTGTTCTAAAATAATGGATCATTCTTTTTAACTAGATCCAAAGATTTTTGATAAGATAAATTATTTTTATTTAATTCATTAACATTATCAATACTACTGATTATAATAATGCTTAGAGGAAAATAATATTATATGTTTTCTCTTAAAAATTACATTGTTCTGAACTAATACACCTACTCTCTCTCAATACAATTTGCCAATTACATTAGAAAAACAAAGCATATGAAAAAATATATATAATTTTTATTTTTAGAGATATTAAAGATAGATACAAATATAAATGCCATCTGACAATGATAAGAATTTTATTAATTCTATGCTAACTAGAATGAAAGAAGGAAACAAACAAATGCATAGAGTTGAAGACAAAAGTAGATGAAGACAAGGAACAATGTTCTCATCCCAAATTCAAAGTGAGTTTTTTACACAAGAAATGTGCAAACAACAAAAACCCTATCATCCAAACCTCACCAACTAGTTTGTGTAAAGCAAGATTTTCAGTTTTTATATATAACATTTTTTTGCTTATATATATTTAGTTCATATTTTCTTGTTGTTCTTTCTTTTTCTTGGACAATATTATAATCCTAATAAGGGACGGGAAATTCTGACCTATGTCCATTGGGGGACGTTACTAATGTCTTAGTTTGTTGAGTTATGCGTTCAATTTGACAGATTTAGTTCCTATTTTGATCAACTTATTTTTACACTTATACTTTTGGTCGTGAAGTTGTATTTTAGACAATCTTAATAATATTATATATTTATCTAACTAGTGCAATAATTATCCATCATGTCCATACACAGACCATCCAAAATAAAGGGTCATGGATTCATACAATACATCACAACATAAATGTGAAGCATCAGAGTTTTAGTCTCATACATAATGAAGAATAAAAAATTACCCTCCTCGTAGGCCTTTCGTGAGAGGATTTACTAAGTTCCTCCCTGGCCTCAAATACTCCAAGGCAAGATATGTTCGAGGCTCCGCTTAATAGCAAAAGAATAGAGTATAAATGCACACCCATCACAAGTAGTAACTTGAAAGAGTATTTCGAGTATCGATCCTCAAGAACAAAAGGTATCTTTTCAAAATGATGGTGATAAGTAAAGTCTAACTGATTTGAGGATAAAACAAGTTGAATGTTGTTGGCTTTGATTTAAACACTAAGTATGAAAGATCCAACCTTTCTACTTCAAATTAACTAAAAACAAGATGGAGGACAACACCTACATGGCAGGCGTCCCTCCTTAGATAATATACGATTTTGCTTCTCAATCTACTAATGTATAAAAGATTTACGAAGTACTAAGTCTCAAGTTAATACGTCCGTTAGGAAGAAGCCTTAGTTTGTTAAAAACCAATCGCAATCAATGGTCAAGGTCCTATGAGTGGAACCTTTATGTCTAAAGCCCTCCTCTCTTCGGTTAAAGAACTAAATTGTAAGAATATGTTCAACCTTTTCGGCATAGAATAAATTTGCAACTCATTAATTGGCCAAATTAATTCATTAACTCTTGTA